GTCATTGAATATACTCAAAGATTATTAACACCTTAGTTAACTTTCCATTAATCATTAAGGTTGTCCAAATATTTGTTGAACATTTTTTGTCATTGAATATACTCAAAGACTATTAACACCTTAGTTAACTTTCCATTAATCATTAAGGTTGTCCAAATATTTGTTGAACTTTGTTTAAATTGCCTGATTAAATCACTCCTAAGTTGATAATTTATTTCTGCATAGACAGAAAGAGATGCATATATCTATTTCAGAGTGGAAGTGTAGCCTCTAATATTAAAGTTTTCTGTAATCAAAAGGAAAAAATACAAAAGAAATGGTGGCAAAAAAAAAAAAAAAAGAACTATTTTCTGTATCATTTGTAGTTTTGTGAAGCATAATCTCATAGGTATGAACATTTAGAACTTTAGAAGCTTATAGTTTTTTATAGTAGCTTTACAGGATTTCTCCACTATATTAGTTATGTTTACATATTCGTTTGTACATGAGTAGTATATCTTTTCCTGAACACAGTATTTTTCCCTTAAACAATTTATAGAATGACATTGTAGATTCCCTTGCAAAACCTAATTGTGGCACTTTATTGCAGTTGGTGTTGTTCTAAGTGGGGGGCTTATTGTCTTTATATTCTTGAGAAATCCTACTACTCTACCCTTTGGAGGTGCTTTGCTAGCGCTGAGCACCTTCAGCTTGAAGATATGGAGTCAAGGAAAATCAAGTTTTCCATTCATTCTTGGGCAAGCAAGTATCTTATTCTTACATTTTCTGTTTCATGAGGAGTCCTTTAAAAGTCTTTATGCTTTACATTTCTATTTTATGGCTTGCGGTCACATTTTCCTTTCATAGGTGCTTCATCTTTGTCTTTTTTACCTGAAACAATAATTCTGTAGGGTAATAACATGTAATGAAATTCTCTTTTATTGATAGATGGGAAGTTGGCTGACTAGCTATTGTAGAGTTTGAACCCTACTCTTGAACCAGATCAAGGTTTTGAAGTCTGTTGATACTAACTTGGCTAAGATCATGTTGGTGTTGGTGGAATGGACATTGTGGTATTATGGTTGACATAGGATAAGCCTCGTAAGAGGGTATACCTAATTTTATTTGGACTACATATAACAAGCAAGGCAATTCTTTGGTTATATGGATTGTCAGTTGATACATTGAGTACTCAAAGTGTTTTTTTTTTGCTTGAATTAAGATAAAATTGAGTGTCCAATGTGTTTTATATTTGTTCCCACAGGGACATTTTTTGTATGGTAACCAATAATTTGTAGTGGCCAATGTATAACTATACCAAGAGAATCTGTGATTTATATGTCATCTCGATTTTGGATCCAACCCAACTTTGTTGAAAATTTCATAGCCAATGTGCATTGCAAATGGGGATTGTATTAGGATTTTGGCTTGTTTACGCCACAAGTCTTTGACCTAAAGCTCCATGTGCTTGGAACCTTGGACTACCAAACCCCAAATTCCCTTGGAAAGTCAGGGCATGATGCGATGAGGAATTATGTAAGGTGCAAATTGCAAATGTGGCATCATTTGCTATGTATCAAAATTTCAAATTTGTAGAAATACACACACACCAAAGGGAATAAACTTTTAACGGTTTTCTATAACGTAAATTGGAATTCAAAGCCATAGAGACATATTAGAGTTAGAAATGAGTCCATGCGCAATATATTTGCTTTGGATTCATATTTATATAAAGAATATTTCAATATGGAAAGAAAACTTTTCTTGTTGTATGAATTTACATAATTATTTTGACCTTGCAGTTCTAGCAGGAGTCTTTCTGTGGAAGAACATTGTGGCTTACTCATTGATAATCATCACATCAAGCAAATTATATTGTGCCTTTTGTCTACCTGACATTTTATTTCTAATTGGGAAATGGTATGTGATTGCAGACAAGGAAGATATTTCCGGCTGGGTTTTATGCTGCCATAAGGTACTTAACATGTGGACACTGCTTTTATTGACTGAGAATGTTAAAATCATTGGTCTTACCTTGCTTATTCACTTATAATTTGTTAAATGAATGATATTATGGTGCAATGCTGTCTTTCTATACATATGTGGTGATCTCTGGTAGAAACCCACCTCCTAAGTTGTTGAAGCTGGCTGCCAGTGAGCAATCATGACCACAGCTCGTAGAAGTGGTCCGACTTTAAGGAAGTGAGGATCCTTTGCGTTAATCTTATATCATGATTTGAACAGCTTGTTACAGCTGAATGAGGCCTAGATGCTTTGTCTAGTAAATGCAGTCTGCGAGTCAAGAGAGTATAATCATATCTATGTTTTAAGCAGTTTCATGTAGGGTGGGGGATTTTTTTTTTTTTTTTCTTAAAAAAAATTCTTCATTGTATGTAATACAAATAGAAATAATATTATAGAGCTTCGTAACAAGCTCTAGATGGATGAAACTGCAAATCTCATTTCTCGTATAGCTCTAATAAATATTTCGGGTGCGGAAGTTAATCATTGTGTTTTCTTTCTTCTTTTTTTTTTTTTTTTTTTGGGGGGGGGGGGTGTGGTTGGAGAATGAGGAGGGAGTTTCTTCTATTTCTGTTTGTTATTAAAAGAAAGGAATTGCAAAAAATTAGAACGTA